AAGGAGAAAGAGTAGCCCCCACCTCGACATAAGTTTGTGGACCTGTGAGAGTGTCCAGAGGGAGTCTAAGCTACCATGTCAGGGACTGAACTATTGGGGAATGTTATTAAAAAAAAAAAAAGCATTTCTAGTGCAATACTAGATCTGAAATTGTCCTGGTTTTGGCTGGGATCAAGTTATTTTTCTTCCTAGTAGCTGGTGCAGTGCTGTGTTTTGACTTTAGTCTGAGAACAATGCTGATAACACACTGCTGTTTTAGATGTTGCTCAGTAGCACTTACCCTGATCAAGGACTTTCCAGTCTCTCATGATCTGCCAGTGAGAAGGGGTGCGGGAAGCCAGGGGGAAGCAGACAGGACACCTGACTCAAACTAGCCAGAGTGATGTTCCATACCACAGCATGTCATGCCCAGTGTATGAACTGGGGGAATTACCTGAGGGGAGTTAACCAGAAGGGACCGATTGCTGCTCAGGTCGGGCTGGGTATTGGTCAGCAATTGTATTGAGCATCACTGTTGTTTGTTGTTTGGGGTTTTTTCCTCTCCCGCCCTTTTTTTTTATATCTTTCTCCTTGTTATTTCCCTTTTCACTACTATTAGTAGTACTGTCAGTGTTAGTATTGTACTTCATGTCAATTATTAAACTGTTCTTATCTCATCCTGTGGCTTTTACTTGCTTTTTTCCCAGTTCTGCTCTCCATCTCCATCCCATTGCGGGTTGGGGTAGGTGAGCAGCTGTGTGGTGCTTAGTTGCCATCTGGGGTTAAACCGTGACAGAAGTTTAATTCCATGACCTACAGATTCAGCTTTTGGTTTTGACTCAGAGTTGGCCTGTTTGTCTCTCCACCCTGAACAGCAAATTTTCCAAGACTTGAAACGTAGGTTGGATACAGTACGTTGATGCTTGGAGGTCTTTGCAAAGTCCTTTTCTAGCCTCGCCTGCACTGAAAACCCCATGTTCTTAGCCCCTTTGACTGGCTGCTTTCTCCATTTCTTTAGAGAAAAGTACCAGTCAAGTTCTCCTTTGTCATTGAGACCCAAGTGAAAATTTTCTCTGTGAAGAGAGAGATCTCAGGTGTATACTAGGAGACTATCTGTGTGGGGCTTTGAGAGTTTTAGACCACTCCTATGTTGTTTGCCTTTGGGAGAGGCTTTGCAGCAGTGGTAAAACTTGCTGGTTTCAGAGTTGAAACAGGCTAATGCTGAGTGTTCATTCATGGAAGGAGACCATGCAGATTTTGGGGCAAGGAACATCCTTTTATGTACTTTGTGTATTTGTGCAAGTACCTGGCCCTTGACTGAACTTCATAAGATGGTCTGGGTGCAAAGAATGATTAATTTCCTTTCACAGTTACTTTCTCCCCTGTTTGTATCACTGTGTCATTCCAAGAGGAACTGACTGAACTCCACAAGTGTTTTCAGACCACTAAAAGCTGAAATTCTCATTTGTTGAGTGTGACCTGAGAACCCAAGTTCAAACCCATAGCAATGGCAGCAAGATTCTTGGTCAGAGCTAATTTAGAAAGACTTCCCAATCATAATGTTATTTGCAGCTGGAGAGATTCCTGGAATGGGAGACTTCTTGAAGAGTTGAGGCTTTCTTCTACTGAGATGAGAGAGATGTATTATATGTGCAGAGTTTTGTCATGTTAAAGCAGTGACATTGATTCACAATGCAATAGTGGTTTGTTAATTACTGCTCTGTCTGATAAAGGGATCTAGGACATGAGAAATGTAATTTATAGAGGTTATTGTCACATACCCTCTGCTGGTAGGAAACTTAGCATAAGGTTTTTAATCTTGAAATTTGATAAATCTCTCACTTTTAATTAAGTTTTATTAACTAAAATATTTTTTTTAATGGCTGTAGTAGACCTTATTTTGCATAGTATGTGGAAGAGAATTAAAGTATGCATTCTATCGTTATGTTAACACAGCATGTACTTGATGTAGCTGAATACTGGTTTTGATGGCTACGTAACAGTTTTCAAATTGTTTTTATGCAGGGGTTTATATTGAAGAAGTCCTAAATAAATGGAAAGGAGACTATGAAAAACTGGAACATAACCACACTTACATACAGTGGTTTGTCATTTATTACCTATTTCTGTTTCAAAGCATTAATTTGAGTAAGTGTTCATGTAGCATGAGCTGTAATGTGCTTTTTCTTTTAACAGGCTTTTCCCACTGAGGGAACAAGGTCTGAACTTCTATGCTAAAGAATTAACTACATATGAAATAGAGGTAATACAAATTGAGCTCAATATAAACCATCACATTAATTTTTATACCTGCGTTTTGTTATGTAGAGTTGTTTTGTACAATGTAGAAGTACTTGTTTTAGTGCCACTTAGAGTTTTGGATGTATTTGTTTATCAGGAATTCAAGAAAACAAAAGAAGCAATTAGAAGATTCCTTTTGGCTTACAAAATGATGTTGGAGTTTTTTGGAATAAAGCTAATTGATAAAACTGGAAACGTTGCACGAGCTGCTAACTGGCAAGAAAGATTTCAGCATTTGAATGAGTAAGTAATGACATGTGCTCCATTCTAGAACTGCCACAGAATCTCTTTACCCTTCTCTTTTGTAGAGAAAGGGAAGATAAATTTTCCAAGGATTGCCAGGAAAAACAGAAAAAGAAACAGGCAATGCCTGGTTTGTGTCTGTGTATTATGCCTCTTGCCCATTACCAGTCTAACCAATATACTGAATTCTCTGAAAATACAAGTTCAGATGTTGCTGAAGAAGATCAGAGTTCCAAATTAATTTGTTTGTCATGCTACCAAATGAATTTTCACCTGATTCCAAAGTGCTGCTTCACAGTTGGAAAGAGCAAGTGGCTTATCTCTGTATTCACATTTCTTTTTGAGAAAATTAAAATTCTCCACACCTTTATGGAAACTAAGAAGATTTCCCTCCCTCCTCAAAACGTGAAATACTATGTGTTTGGTACTTTTTAATTACAGTGCTTAACTGGAGCGGTTTAGACACACATTAAGTCAAACTTTAGCCCGACTTCCAGCAAATTACTTCTGTTGCTTTTCATTGGAATTATGTGGAGCATAAGTTTGCACTGATTTTTGTCCCATGCTGATTAATTCTATAAAAATCTCTTTTCAAATCTTGTGATCTCTTTCCTAATATTTCTGTCCTTAGAGCTGGGGATTGCTTTGTTGCAGTATTTTGTTATCCCATTGAGATGAAAGCTTATATTGCTGATGGATAATTTTGGGTGAATAATGGGAATAATTTTTTTATTAATTTTACTTAAATAGTGTATGAGCGATTATGGCTGTGGGCGCAGACTCAGGCTACAGATAAAAAAGGTTTTGGGGAGCCCAAATGTTACTCACTGCACATTTTTACAGTGTAATTCCTGTATTCTCATCAGTGACTAGCTACACAGTTTTAAGTCATGAATTGGGACTTTTTTTACCTGATTTTAGCCATCTGAAACTTAAACATTAAGTTTTACTCTTTACTTACGTGTACTTTATGAGGGAAAGATCCCTTCACAAGAACTTCCAGAATACAGTTCATTCCATTTGTCTTAGACACTTCTTAACAACAGCGGGACTTGCTCTCCAGAGGTACCTGTTTTTCTCCCAGCACTGACTGTATGAGAAGTGCAGGTAGCTACTCTAGGTTGGAGACCCAGCTTTCAAATAGCTTAAATTAAGTGCAGTGAATCCTATTCTGAGGCTGTATTACTGCAATACGCTACAAAACTCATTATTATATAAAATGACTGGGTTTTTTCCTTAGAAAGAATACACACAGCAGAACGAATCAAAATCAGTACAGACTTTGATTTTATGTGGGTTTTTTTAGCCTGTTGCCTCATTGCACTTTACAGACACTAATTTTCACTCACAATGTCCTAGCAAAGGAGGTGCTAGCAAGCTTCAGCAGCTGTGAGAAATTAAAGTTCAGGAAGCCTGAAGTACACACCTGGAGTGATAAAAAGGAGTGAGGAATTGCAGTTCCAGTTCTGTATCTGTAAGGTGGGTTTTGGTTGGTTTTTTTTCTTTCCCTGATTCAATGGGATTTTTTCACTCTTTTCTTCCAAAGGTCTCAACACAACTACTTGAGAATCACTCGAATTCTGAAAAGTCTTGGAGAGCTTGGATATGAGAGTTTCAAATCTCCCCTGGTAAAATTTATTCTCCATGAAGCTCTTGTGGAAGATACTATTCCCAACATTAAGCAAAGTGCTCTAGAATATTTTGTGTATACTATTAGAGACCGAAGAGAAAGGAGGAAACTCCTGAGATTTGCCCAGCAACATTATACACCCTCGGAGCATTTTATCTGGGGACCCACAAGAAAACAGAAGTCGGAGGGAAGCAAAGCAAATAAAAAGCCAGCATCTCCAATTTCTATTCACAATAGTTGTATTTCTAAGCATAAGAAACCAAAAGAGCCTAAGAATACATCAGCAAGTGGAAGCTCAGCTGGTAAGACGGCTGAAGAAAGAAAGGTAGAACTCACAAAAAATGGGGAAGAAAATGACCAGGATGAACAAGAAGTGAACTGTGATGCTGTTAGGCAGAACAACAGTGAAAAGAACAGTGATGCTGATAGCGGTCAGCTTTCAAAATCAGAAGACATTCATGATACTTCAGACAGAAAGGAAGACTCTCATTTCAAAAAAGATGATGAAAGTCTGAACAGTGACTGTGGAAATCACCCGGGCACTAAAGAGAAAGATTTATGTGACACTGAGAATTCTTCAAATAACGTGTCATCAGATCTACAAGATAACCTTGATAAGGGTACACTTACAGGGGGGACCACCACAAAAAACAAGGATGAGCTCAAATCATGAGTCTGAGGTTAAAAATCATGTTTCATACTGAATGAAGCAAATTCTTCATTGCTCCTTCATTTTGGGTGAAATTTCCATCCAGTGTTGTATGAAATGTTCATGAGACTGTGCTTGTTGCAAATGCATCAGATTAGGCTTCTGTGAGGTTAATGAATTTTATTCTTTTCAACCTCAGTTTATCAGCAGTCAGCCAGGTGTGGCTCTTAAAAACAATCATGTATATTCAAAGCTGAGAAATTAATTACCTTTTCCAGACAGATTGCATAGAAAAGCTTATCTATTTTTTTGCCATTGGATCCATCCAGTATTTAAAAACAAAAAAGGTGTAACTTACTAGAAAGCCTTGGAACATCAGAACTTTCAAGTTTCTTTTAATATGCTTTAAGTGTTGATTTCCTTTTATGAAATAACTTGAAGTTGTTTCGAGAGCACAGTTTTTTCCCTAGTGGATATTTTTTAGGAATTATGTTCATGTTTAACAGCAGTATTTGCACAGCATCTTTCACCTTAGATCAGCATCCCTGTCGGAGACACAGCAGATACCAAAATGTCCTATGCAGCTGGGTATCACTGTACGTTCAATAAAAGTTTAACTTACAGTGAAACTGTATCCACAGCTTTTGGGTACAAGGGAAGTTGCACTTTAGACTTCTTTTAGTCCATGTGAAGTTCTCTCTTCTCTTGACTCATTTGTTAGTACTACTAGTTTGGGGGAGGAGGGCGTCTCTTTGATCACTCAGATTTGGTCTCAGTGTGAAGGCCTTCTGTTGATGAGCTGTAATAAAACACTCCCCCAGCTGGCTTCAGCATCTGGAAAGCCTCTGGACAGCTGAAAAGCAGTCTCCTCACCACAAAACTTCATTGCTTAATCATCAAAGCCATCAGGGGAAATGTTCCCAGGCCTGTCTAGTGGGATCTTACCTGAACTTGAATGTTTCTTGACCAGTTTTATGTGGGGTCTGCACAATGCTGAAACCCTTGTTGCTGCTCTGGGGGAGAAAGGCAGTCCTGATGCTCCCTTCCAGCTGTTTTCCTCTCTTTGCTCTCAATCAGAGGTCTTTCACAATTTAATGTTATTTGGATCATTGGCTGAAACCTGAGGCAGGCCAGTCTGCTGGCCCAGCTGGAGCCCAGCCTGTAGGAATTTCGCAATTAAGATCTTTCCCAACTTTCTTTACTGAAGGACTGCTTTCCCCGAGTAACCTTGTCTGACTTCATGCCATTCAGTCAACCAAGATAGTACCCAGCAACTTAACTGTGTAGAATACGAATTAAAAAATAATGCAGGTAGAACTTACACTTTCTACACTCCTGAAATAGTCTAAAACTTCTATATGTATTTTCTATTTAAAAGGATGTATATTATCCACTGCCTTTAATGTATTTTTGATGAAATGTTAGGAGGCAAGTGGATGACTACAGTTTGAGTCTCAGAGTGCTACAGGACTTTATTCAAGTCTTTTAACTCAAAATGACGAAGTCTTCGGGAGCTTCTGAGCACAGACAAAATGTCTGGTATTTTTCTGTTTTGCTAATTCCCATCATGGCAGTGCATCATCCATTGCTTTCCACAGGTAGCACTCTTTCTTGGGATTAAATAGCATGGCAGTTAGAGATCTGGGTACCCATGGGCAGCGATTAGGCTTTTTCCCTTCCTGAAGAGGCAGGGAAGAAAGAAGGTGTATCCCTCCTTCTCCTGTGCTGACTTTTAAGGCAAGGAAAGTATGTATGTGGATTTTTTAAGGGTAACTCAGGTTGCTCAAGGAGATACTAAGTCTGTCTGAGCAGAAATGCCCCAGAGAATTCCTCCCTAGAAAGGTGCTTAGAAGCCTTTCACAATATCCTGGGCTTGAACTAGGATCCCCTTGTTCATGTTTCCTCTGACTTTCAGAGCAGAAGGGGTCAGGAGATGCTAAGATAAAATTGGTCCATGTAGTTAAGGACTCTGACCCGATGTATACGCACAGGGAGGACAGCTCTATGTTCCGCCTATGACTTTTTAAATCTTGAGTGCCTAACCGTGCCAACTTGATAGTGGTTTTTTTAGTTACTTCTTGAATGGCATAGGGAAAATGTGTATAGGGAATATAACTATAAGGTACAGAGCCTTTAATTGATAGATTTTAATATTAAACACTTCAAAATGTAGAGTTCAAGTGACATAAGGGATGTTGGGAATGTAATTATATTTATACTGTAATTTGATGGAACATCAATGACCTGTAGAGATCTTTTGTCACACACACACACACACACAGAAAAAGGAAATCTTGCTCTATTTTTAAACCAGAAAGCTCTTGGGATGTGCATCCAAATGATTTCTCTGCAATACAGTATTCTGTTGCTGTGGTACAGCTTTCACCTGGTACAGCAACAGCTTGCTGGTTCTCCACTCATAATTAAGTACTTAATGTACTTTTAATCTGATAGGGTTTCCTGCTTTAAGGGCCTAGTGTATCTGAAAATGCAGTCAGGAACTTTGGGACTCATATCCTTGTTAACTCTGTAGTTTTTAAATTTTATTTTATTTTTTTTTTTTAGTCCACAATTTGGTCTGTTTCTGTCAGTTTTCACAGAAGTTGGAAAAGTAGTGACACACCAATTGCCTACAAATGGCTGTGGGGATTAGGTAAGTGAGGTTTGTTTGTGTCAGGTGGGCTTCTGCGCTCTGTAATCTTTGTTTGGTAGCTTTATCAACAGAATTATTCCCATGGGACAGTTCAGCTCTAACTAGTAAATTCTCCTCTATGTTAAACACGGTGGTTTATCCTTCTTTGTATAGAGTTGTTTCTTCTGATGCTGCAAGTGATTAAAAGAAGGATTCATTTCAGGGCAATCATACAGTGTAGCATCCCATTGATCAAGCGGGTGCGTTGTATGCATTTCGTTACAGAATCATGGCCTTAGCAACCAGAAGCACTCCATGCTTGATGTTTCTAAGTATTGGCTTTCAGGTTTACGGTACAACGTATGTTGTAATGATTGTATTCTCATAAAGGCCAGTACTTTTAACCATTACTTCAGAAACTGAGGATGTGCAGAGAAAGTCAGGATATTTACTCACTGTTAGACTTGGGTTTATCTTGCTATATGCTTAAGTACTCAGGGATTTCTGTGTACTTGCTACAATAATGTGTTTTGGCCAAGTGTTCTACTAGAATCTGAGCTATTCACTCATTAATTGAACAGAACCTCCCATACAGGGGTTATTTCCTAATAAGTACATCTGAGTAGCCTCTGGTATGTTCAAATGGGAGTAGTGTGTGTATATGCACACACCTGTGAATTCAAGTATCCCATAGTGAGGGGATATGAATGCACAACTTGACAAAATGTTACTGAGTACACACATATCATGCAAAAATGCAGCACTTTAAGATTAGTTACATCTCTGTGCCCTACTATCTGGGACATAACTGTGCCTCAGTTCCTAATACTGTGTTGGCATAGAGACTGACAGTTTGGGTAAATGAGGTGTTCACCTCAGACCATCCAGATTATAAGAGCAGTTACACATGTGCACATATCTAGGAGCAGAACTGAGCTCTCGGTGTTCATATTGCTCATATTTAAAGGTGTAATCCTGAAGGAGGCTAAAAATATTTGCAATAAGCCTTTGAGAGCTGGCTTGGTCAGCTCCTCAGTTTCCTGCTCTAAGATTGCTGCAATCTAGTGTATTAGGTATTTGTTTAACTATAGCTATTATGTCATGTAACCTAGTGTAAGCCTCCTTGAATTATTCCAGGATAATTCTAATAATCTGCAGATGCATATGCTTGTGCTATAACCAGAAAGTTTACAGACTTTAGAAGCTTTGTGTAATTTTGACAGTTGATCCAATAAGGTAAGTTAAGGGAGATTTACTAGATTTAAATGGAAAACAGCTTTTGTTTGTTTTTTAAATAAAGTTTATGTGTATCTGTTTACTTGAATTATTCTGTTTGCACCTTTCTTTTCCTGACAGTTGTGATGGTAGCGATGGCAAATTATAGTAAGATATATATGTTTAAGTGAAAATGTAACTCTTTTTACACTATAGTTTTACAGATTTAACATATTGTAGTGAATTTCCTTGACAAAAGCTGTATTTATGAATAAGATGCAAGTATGTAAAGTAAGTTTTGAAGTTAATTAACATATGACAATATCCTGCTAATGATGCACATTGTCCTAAGAACTACCAGTGTGGATCAGAACCAAAGATGTTTCTAGCCTTGTATCCTGCCTCCAGCAGCAGACACCAACAGATGGTGTGAAACAAAGAACAGATAAGGTGACCCCATTTTTCTCCAGGAATTTCTCCATTTTAGAATTTACGGATTCTTTCAGCCTCCACAATCCATTGTGGCTGTGAATTCCATGTTTTAATTATGTTTTGTGTGGAAAAAGTAATCTCTTGTTTGTCTCAGATCTGTTTATTCAAGAGTTGCTAGAGCATTTGAACACAGTTACTAAAAGTACTATAAGATGAACAGTAATCCACTTCAACTCAGTTTTTGAAAGCCATGGGCTATTCTAATGACAAAATACCTGCTTAGGCAGAAAATGTCCTGTGTTTCTGTCCTTAGGCAGAAGATGTCTGCTTAGGCAGAAAATTTGTCCCTATGTTAATGTCAATAGTATTTTGCTTATCCCTTCTGAATAAATTTTTACTCAAAAATCCTTTTGTATGAAGCATTAAAAGCCAGATTCCAACTTCAGAACAGGTTTTGTTTTGTTTGTTTCCCTATCATTGTAAAAGCAAAATCAGTGAAAGGAAAAACCTATTCCTAGGCCACATCTGAGTGAGGAGACACCTCTGGATTTGGAGACACCAGCATCAATGGGTGTAACATTGTGGTCATATACACTGTCTGGGGTTTGCTGAGAACCATACTCATTCCATGTTTCGGTAACGTAACTTTGATACATGTCCCCATTTCCAATTGCAATTGGGGTAAGCGCTCAAAAGATGTTTGGAGCCTGAAAATGAAGGCTGGGCCAAAAAGGCCTAAGCGTGG